CCCGGCCCTGGGGAGAAAATGGCGCCGAGGGGGTTAAGGCGAAGGAGATGGGGCCCGCCGGCACTTCCCTTGCACCCGGCCACCCCTTGAAATTGGGTTTTGCCGCCATCTGTGGTGGTGGTATTATTATTATTATTATTATTATTATTACTATTATTATTACTTCTTCATTATTTGTCCCACATTTTTTTTGTACATACAAGCCAAATTCCCCAGCCCCTTGAGGTATCTGTAGCCCACTCCTCCCAAAATCTCCGTAGCCCTGTTCATAATAATATGAGTATGACTAATATAAATATTAATCTAATCCTTTATGGAAGGATTTTAGTGCTTGCTGGGTATCACAAATATGTAATCCAGGGGAGAATGACATTAGGCTGAAAGTGCGGAGTGCAAAATATGATTTGAATAAAATGATAGGGTGGTATCTAATATTTACTTTAGGGAGTACTATACTCTGAGCTGTCACAACCGATTGTGTAAATAGACGAGACTGAGGGATGTGATCCTAATCATATTGATGAAACATTCATCTGAAAGACCGAGTGCAACCAGAAGGGACTCACTAGGAATACAATTAAATCCTAATCTGGGGAGGAGGAATCCTCTGCAGGCTTTCCTCTAACCTGCCACCTTCTCCCCCCTTTTCATTTTGGAGTCAAATAAAATGTGGAAGAGGAAATAAAGGAGTGCTGGAGCGCTGGGTGGTTTGCCTGCCCGAAGGACTGCATCAACACAGGGAGTACTGGGGGGGAAGGAGGTACATCTCCAGTCCTGACCCTGCGGATAATAAATAAAGGCCTAACTTTGCTCACAGGGGTAACTACCTGCCTGCAGAGGGTTTCCACCTGTGAGTGGTGTTAATCAGGTGCAGGAGTCCTGTGTGTCTGGAGGAAGAGTCCTTCTCCTACCCGGGGTTTGACCATCAGCTCAGTCCCAGGCTTGTAAGCAAAATGTAGTCTTCTGTCTGTTGTATGCCATTTAGTTTCCACCTGCAGTGGGGAACTGATTTCTTGCTGATAATATTTATTAGCAAAGGGCTTACTTTCCAGTCTCCCACGGGCTGGTTCCTGTCTGGCCCTCATTGCCGTGGTTTCTGACTGCCTTTCAGTAGTGTAGTGCATTGGGTGAAATGGCATCAGGCAGTTTGTCTTCCCTGCATGTGCTGATAATCCCCTCGGATCATGAGAGAAATAGGTTAGCTAGTGCTGTAAGGGGACCAACCCATTTTGACCATTGTCCCTCAAAAGATGGTCTGAGAAGATGGATGGTTTCTGACTGCCTTTCAGTAGTGTAGTGCATTGGGTGAAATGGCATCAGGCAGTTTGTCTTCCCTGCATGTGCTGATAATCCCCTCGGATCATGAGAGAAATAGGTTAGCTAGTGCTGTAAGGGGACCAACCCATTTTGACCATTGCCCCTCAAAAGATGGTCTGAGAAGATGGATGGGGCAAGGCTCCAGCTGTGGTTCCTGTAACGTAGAATCATAGAATCATAGAATCATTGAGGTTGGAAAAGACCTCTAAGATCATCGAGTCCAACCGTCAACCCAACACCACCATGCCCACTAAACCCCCGCCCCTGGGCAGCCTGTTCCAATGTTTCACCACTCTTT